CATGATTCTTGCTACACTTGAGCCCATTGCCGCCGCCACCACCATGTGCTGCCGCCATGTCAATCCACCTCATTGAGGGCCTTCCCCTCTTTCATTGACCCTCCACCTTCCCAAGCATGACATCCTTCTCCAGGGAATGGTCCCTACTGACAACATGACCAAACTAGGTGAGACGAAGTCTGACCATTCTCGCCTCCAAGGAGCATTCTGGCTGCACTTCCTCCAGGACATACCTGTTAGTTCTTTTAGCAGTCCATGGTACTTTCAGCATTCTTCGCCAGTACCACAGCTCAAAAGCATCAACTCTTCTTTGGTGTTCCTTATTCATTGTCCAGCTCTCACATGCATATGAGGTGATTGAAAATGCCATGCCTTGTGTCTGGCACACCTTAGTCCTTAAGGAGCCATCTTTGTTCTTCAGCACTTGAAAGAGGTCCTTTGCAGCCAATTTGCCCAGTGCTATACATCGTCTGATGTTCTGACTGCTGTTTCCCTTGGCATTGATTGTTGAACCAAGCAATGTGAACTCTGACAATTTCAATCTTCTTTTCATTTACTGTGATACTGCTCATTGGTCCAGTTGTGAGGCTTTCTGTTTTCTTTATATTGAGACATAATCCATACTGCAGACTGTATTCTTCAACCTTCATCAGTAAGTGCCTCAAGTCATCCTCACTTTCAGCAAGCAAAATTGTATCATCTGTGTATCTCAGGTTGTTAATGATTCTTCCTCCAATCCTGATACCACATTTTTCTTCATATAATCCGGCTTCTTGGATTATTTGCTCAGCATATAGATTGAATGAGTATGGGGAAAGGATACACCCCTGATGCACTCCCTTCCTGATTTTAAACCAGGTAGTGTCCCCTTGTTCCATTCGAAAGACAGCCTCCTGATCAAGGTACAGGTTCCTCCTGAGTAAAATCAAGTGCTCAGAAATTCCTATTCTTCTCAATGTGATCCATAATTTGTCATGATCCACACAATCAAATACCTTTGCATAGTCAATAAAACACAAGTAAACATTTTTGGGGTATTCTTTGCCTTGAGCCAAGATCCATCTGACATCAGCAATGCTATCCCTCATTCCACATCATCTTCTGAATCCAGCCTGCACCTCTGGAAGTTCTCTGTTAATATACTGCTGTGACCTTTTTAAATGATCTTCAGTAAGATTTTACTTGTGTGTGACTTTAATTTTATTGTTCGATAATTTCCACATTCTGTGTGTTCACTTTTCTTTGTTGAAACTGAAAGGTAAGTGGTTCAAACCCACTAGCCTCTCTCTGGGAGAAAGATGTGGCAGTCTGCTTCCAGAAAGATTAGACCCTTGAATATTTTATGGAAGTTTTACTTTGTCCTGTGAGGTAACTATGATTCAGAATTGATTGAATGGCAGTGGCTTCAGTTTGGTGCATATATCTCAAAACATTATATAAGCAATGATGTGGATCCTGGAAGAATAGGTTTGAATTTACCCAGGAAAACTAGAAGTGTAATTAAAAAGATAATATTTGTAGTATTCAAGAAGTTAAGCCCTAGACATAGTATGTTCACTTGACTAAGTTAAAGAGTAAGAGCTGGGCTAGTCTTTGCATATACAATTAGATAATGATATAAATAAATAGGAAAGCAGATTGGGAGAGAGTGTATAGACCCTTAATAATATAACAAATGTTAAAAAGTGATGAAAGGACCACCCATATTTGACTTCCAGCACCATTAAGTAGCAACCACTCATCTGTCCTTGCAGCCTTGTATGTTGCTCTAATGTTGAACAGGTTTTCACAGAGCTTCTAGAGTAGAACAGATTAGAAAGAAAGTTCAGTCAATCTACATCCAAAAAATCATCCATGAGAGTCCAATGGTTCATTATGGTTGACTATGCATAAGGTCTCCATGAGTTGAGGGACATCTTGCTGATAGCAAACAACAACAGCTATGTGTTGCATGGTTTATCTAAGACAAAGTCCTATAACAAAATAATGAAAGCAATATTCCCTTGAAGGAAGTATGGCTGTTTTATTATGTTGAAGTTTCTGTTTCATGTGTATGTTATTTCCTATATGTAGTTAGTCTTGGAGGAAGTGTAGCCAGAGTGCTCCACAGAAGCATGGATGGTGAGACATTTCCTCTCATATTTGTGTTGTGTTATCAAGAAGCACCTGGGGAAGGATACCATGCTTGGTAAAGTAGAGGGCCAATGAAAAAGAGGAAGGCACTCAATGTATAGACACAGAGGCTACAGCACTGGGCTTAAATACCACTTGACAGTGCATCATTTGTTGTACATGGGGTTTATGTGAATCAGAACCTTCTCATCAGCACATAACAACAAAATTAGCTAGCTTAAAAAAATATGGATCCAGGTAACTTTGTGGTTTAATTTTTCTCATTACACCAACAGTCTTTACTGCTGTAGTTGGTTTTCCCTTTCAGGCTCATGGTTTCTTTTGTGAAGGATAAATAAGTATAACAATTTATTTACTTTACCCATTCCATAGGTAAAAAGAGAGATGGTGTTCCCAAGACAAATGATAAAATACTGTCATGGAGTCAATTCCGATTCATAGTGACCCCCATTGGGTTTCCAAGGCAGTGCATTTTTTACGGAAGTAGATTGCCCAGTCTTCTTTCCACAGAGTGGTTAGTGGCTTTCAACCATCAACCTTCTGGTTGCCATTCAGATACCTTAGACACTGTGCTACCAGAGCTCCTAGTACGAAAAGTACTTAAGTAAAATTATGTATACACATTTAGTAATTGTTTATAATGGATTAGAGAGTTGATTAAAAGTAAGCAAAATACTGCAAAAAGATCTAAAGCGCAATATGTACACACACACACACACACACACAAAAGTCAATGGTGATCAATTTAAAAATTAATCAACAGACATGAATTTTTTGGAGGAAGAATTTTTTTTTTTTTTTCCTGTTGGGGACAGACATAAGCTATTTATCCTGGTAATTCTTTTTTTTTTTAATTGTGATTTGGGTGAAGATTTACAGAGCAAATTCACTTTCCATACAGCAGTTCACATACACTTTGTCTCATAACATTGACCACAGTTTACCACAATGCAACAGCTCTCCTCCCACCTCCTCCCCACAGTTACCTCTTCCCAGTGTCCATCCCTCCATGGGCTCCTGCCCCCTGAGCTGTCCCCCTGTGCATAAGCAGCTAAGGAAGAATTTTTTGAAAAACAAAAATATGCTTGTAGTAGAATTTGAGTATCTCCCCAAGATATGAGATTATGTGTATTGCCTGTTCTCTGAGGCTTTTTGTATCTGTGGATTTCCAAAGATAAAACTCTTTTTTAAGACTCTGTGACCTAAATTTGTCCTTTATACACTGCCTCTAAAAAAGAATCATAAGGCATTTTCAAGTCCTTAGACACAAACGTTTTGCAGTTGAACTTGAAATATCCTGATGTTAGTTATTAACTATAGTGTGAAAATTGATGTTAAATGAGGGGTGCTGGAGGATGCCATATGGCTAACCTATGGAAAAACAAGAGGGAAAAAAAAGTCAGCAAGTGAACTGCACGGACAAAATGAGTATGACCTGTGAAATCAGAGAAAATAATAGGCTTTTTATAAAGAAGCTACATTTGAAAAATACATTATACTGCTACATGGGGAAAAAAAAAGAGAGAGAGAGAGAGATGGTCAGCAAGCTTTTGGCAATTTCACAAAATAAATATATCTCTGTTTTAAAAGTTACATACATACCTTTTACAATATTGGGTACTTTATATATTTTTATTTTTGGTCAATTCTATCATGCTTCCTTTATGATACCAGTCGACCAACCAATACTCAGAACTTAACAGATACTTTTAGTACTTATGCACTAAGAACCAAGATAAATAATATAAAATCTCCAGAGAATGTTACTATTCATAATGGTTTAGTCTTTTATCCTGAATTTGAAAATACCTCTTAACATTTGGATTAAGCTAGGGAGAATCCTGAATATGGGTTCTATGTGTGATTAATAAAATTATAGTATATAGACATGCAGAATATTATTTATGTAGGAAAGATGATGTCACTTGTTTGACAAGAAAGAAAGAGAATGAGAAAATAAAAATCTAACTTCTTTAGTCAAAACTGGACTCAAGAAGGGAATTACACAATTCCTACTGCTGTTTATCCCGACAGCTGATAAACAAACTGTTGAATTTGCTACTTGCAAACATGATACTCTTTTCCTTCTTTTGCGTGCCTGAACTCTTGATTTGGAAAAAAAAAAAAAAGACAGGAAGAAGTCTACCCTGGTTAATACTAAGAAACAGAAGCATATAGATGTAGTTTTAATTTTTTTTTTTTTTCTCATACAAAACATCATAATCTTAATAAGGCCAAGTTAGTTATTCCTTGGTAGATAACAATGTATTTTACTTTTTTCTTCCTTTTTTTTGTTATATTACATTTGATTCTTTTGTTTGTTTGTTTTATTTAACCTACTAATTTTTATTACCCATGATTTTTCAATAAAATTTCAGACAGTTTTTTTTTTCTTTTAGATACATACATGTAAAATTAAACCACAGCTAGCTGATTAACAACTAATCCAGTCTATATATAACTTATTTTATTCTGATGCTTATTATGGGTATTTTCCTGCTAACAAAAATGTGGTGCTTTCAACTCACTGAGCAGCACCTTGAAAGAAAAACCTAGTCATGTTCTTTGATAAAAATCATGGCATCAGAAACGCTACGAGGCAGTTTTGCTGTCACATCGGGTCCCTATGAGTCAAAAATCACTAACAACAACAACCTCGCTACTGGTTTGCATTTAACTACCAAATAAATAACATTCCCGCCTTACCCTACTCAAACACTGCAATACCACAACACCTGCCATGCAATTAGTCAAATATTTTTTGTGTAGCCATTGATGATGCACAAGTTTCCACAAAAAATAATAAAGAATTAACAATACATGACTTTCACATTTAGCTTTCATATTTCTCATATAAAAATTCTTACCTTGCCTACATATTGTGTGTCTGTACCTGTGTACTCTTCCAACAAGAAGAACTGATTCCACATCCAACCCCGTTTGCTGCGACGTAACATTTTACCATTATCTTTTGTCAGATCCACTGTCCTTTTGCTTGGTAAATAATTGTTAGCTTTTTCTTGTAATGAAGTGGCATCAACTGTATGGAACATATAGGTCCAGACAAATAATGGTAGGCAATGGTAAGTCCTCATTATCTGCAGCTCCAACAAAATCAAATTCAATATATATTCTGTGTTCCCTGAGGAGGAGAGGGAGAAAAAAAATCAATTTATTAAGTTGTGTTGTAATTGCACATAACCTGTAAACTACAAAATTCTACCTATTTTTTTTTCAAATATAATAAGTAAATATACATCTACTAGCATGTATATATGACATACAGTAAACTATCATTAAAAATTCACATCACATAGGTAACGAAGGAGATGTATATATTTCAAGAAAATTAGAGAAGGAATTTAACAGTTGACTTTACAATTATCAAATCATAGCCATAAAATGAGAACATATTTTTTATTTAAAATATTAAATAGAAACAAAAATAACTCTACATTAACCAAAACAAATCCATGGCCATCAAGTCGATTCAGACTCACAGTGACACCCCCAGAGTAGAAATCTCCGTGGAGCAGCTGGTGGATTTGAACTGCCAATCTTCTGGTTAGCAGTGGTGCATTTAAGCACTGTGCCTCCAGGGCTCCTTAACTTTACAATACACCAGTTACTCTTCAGTGCTTATATTGGTGTGGTGCCCAAGGCATTTGACTGCTAACCAGAAGGCTGGAAGTTCAAACCCACCAGCCACTCCTTGGAAGGAAGGTTGGACAGTCTACTTTCATAGTGATACCGCCTCAGAAACCCAAGGAGGTGTTGCTATGAGTTGGATCCGACCCCACAGCTGTGCATATTGAGTGTTCTAAGGTCATGATGAATAAACATAGAACATTCATTGATACATCATGTTTTATATATAAGAACCTATAACTTCCAGACACACTGTTTTTTACTCACTATCTACCAATTTTTCAAATCTCATTTACTTATTTTGGTAATAGGTTGAGATGTTGCCAAAAAGCAAATTAAGTAATAACAAATACATTTTAGATTATGTTTTTGATAGGTAGTGCCATATCAATCCTTTACAGTTATGCAATATAAATATTATGTATATATATAACCCACTGCCATTGAGTCAATTCCCACGCACAGTGACCCTCATTGTGTTACTGAGGGGGTAAATCTTTACGGAAGCAAATTGCCCAGTCTTCTTTCCCAGGAGTGGTTGGTGGTTTTGACCCACCAGCCTTCTAGTTAACAGCCAAATGTCTTAGGCACTATACTAACAGAGCTCCTTATTTTGTATATACATATATCTATACCAACAGAGCTCGTTATTTTGTATATACATATATTTATATATTGTTGTTGTTGTTTGCCATCGAGTCGGCCCCGACTCATAGCGACCCCTCCTTGGGTTTCCGAGGCAGTATCATTACGGAAGTAGGATTGCCAAACCTTCCTTCCTAGGTGAGGCTGGTGGGTTTGAACCGCTAGCCTTCTGGTTAGCAGTGAAGTGCCTTAGGCACTATGCTACCAGAGCTCCTATATCTATATATAGATATATGTATATATAGGCATATAATAGGAGCTCTGGTAGCATAGTGCCTAAGGCACTTCACTGCTAACCAAGGCTAGCGGTTCAAACCCACCAGCCACTCCTCGGGAGGAAGATGGGGCAATCTACTTCCGTAGTGATACTGCCTCGGAAACCCAAGGAGGGGTCACTATGAGTCGGGTCTGACTAGACGGCAAACAACAACAACAACAGGCATATAATACATAGTTTGTTGTTGTAGAGAATACGCACAGTGAAATATACACTGATTCAACAATTCCAAAGTGTACCAATTAGTGACTGATTACATTCTCCGGGTTGTATAGCCATCCTACCCCTCTGTTTCTGAGTTATTTCTCCTGTTAACATTAATTCCCCGCTACCTAAGGTACATATCTAGTCTTTCAAATTGCTGTTGTCATTTTGGTCTCCTGTAGATAATTATTAAAAATGCTTTATAGGTGATAGCTATTTTATTTTCAACCAACATTTGAGTATGCAACGTGAGGAGCTTAGGAGCACGTGATCATAAATGGAAAAATTTCTTTGGCTTACACATGTACCCTGGGTGCTCTGGTGGCAGTAGTGCCTAAGGCATTTGACTGCTAACCAGGAGGCTGGTGGGTCAAAACCACCAACCACTCCTCAGAAGGAAGACTGAGTGATCTACTTCCATAGAGATACCACCTCGGAAACCCAACAAAGGGTTGCTATGAGTCAAATTGATTCAATGGCAGTGAGGCTTTTTTTTTTTTTTTTAATATATACCCTACAAATGAGCTCTGCTGGTGCAGCCTTGGCTGCTTACCAAAAGGCCAGTACTTTAAAGCCAGCAGCTGTTGAGTTGGAGAAAGTTGTGGCAGTGAGTGAGCTTCCCTAAAGATTCATAGCCTAGGAAATCCTGTGGGGCATATCTACTCTGACTTACAGTATCACTATGAGTTGGAATAGACGTTACATCAGTGTTTTTGTTTTCCTGATACAAAAAAAAAAAAAAAAATTCACTGCCATTGAGTCAGATCCAACTCATAGCAACCCCTCCTTGAGTTTCTGAGGCAGTATCACTATGGAGGTAGATTGTCCAATCTTCTTGCCCAGGAGTGGCTGGTGGGTTTGAACCCCCAGCCTTCTGGTTAGCAGTCAAATGCTTTAGGCACTACACTACCAGAGTACCCTTATTTCCAAATTTATTATTAAAAAATACCACTATATTATACACATATATGGCCAAGAACACACATAATTGGGAGTGAAAGAAAACAGAAAGCAATTTCATTGCTTCATTGGTTTCTGACTCCAAAATTGTAAAATATTAGTTGATGGTAATTTTTCTTAAAGGAGCCCTGGTGTTACAGTGGCTAAGCATTGAGGTGTTAAACAAATGTCAGTAGTGGAAATCCACCAGCCACCCTGAAGGAGGAAAATGTGCCTACCTGCTTCCATAGCAATTGTTGTTGTTAAGCACTCTTCAGTTGGCACTGACACATTGAGACATTACGTGCAACAGAAGGAAACACTACCTAGTACTGCACCATCCTCACCATGCCTGCTAGGCTCGAGCCCATCACTGCAGCCACTATGTCACGTGATCTCATTGAGGGATTTCCCCTTTCCCCTGACCCTCTACTAAGCATGATATCCTTCTCCAGGAACTGGTCCCTTCTGACAACATGGCCAGTGTGGATGACAAAACGTCAGGCCATTCCTGTTTCTAAGGGCATTCAGGCTGCACTTCTCCCAAGACACATATGCTATTCTTCTGCCAGTCCACGGTAATTTCAGTATTTTTTGCCAACACAGCAATTCAAAGATATCAACTCCTCTTTGGTCTTCCTTCCTCATTGTCCAACTTTCACATGCATATAAGGTGATTGAAAATATCACGCCTTGAGTTAGGAGCACCTTAGGCCTCAAAGTCACATCTTTACTCCTTAACACTTTAAAAGAGTTCTTTGAAGAAGATTTGCCCAGTGAAATATGATGCCTGATTTCTTGACTACTGCTTCTGTCATTGTTGATAATGTATCCAAGTAATGACATCCATGACATCTTTTATCTTTTCTCCATTTATAGTGATGTTACTTATTGGCCCAGTGGTGAGTATTTTTGTTTTCTTTATTTTGAGGTGTGATCCACACTGAAGACTGTTGTCTTTGATCTTCATCAGTAAGTGCTTCAAGTTATCATCATTTTCAGCAAGCAAGTTTGGGTCATCTACCTACCACAGGTTGTTAATGAGTCTTCCTCTAATCCTCTAATCCTCTAATTCTTCTAAATATAGTCCAGCCTCTCAGATTATTTGCTCAGCATATAGATTGAATAACTGTGGTTGTTATGGTTACCTAGTGCTGCTCTGATGAGAAATATACCACAAATTGGATGGCCTTAACAAACAGGAGTTTATTCTTAAAATCTGGAGACTTTAAATCCACGTTCAAAGTGCCAGGCTATAGGGGCTGGGTGAAAGCCCCTCAACCTTGGGGTCCAGCTTTGCCTCCTGCTCCTGGGCCACTGGAGCTAGAGGCTTTTCTTCACTCAGACAGCTGCTGAGGCTGAGAAGCCCCAAGGTTGACAAGGAAAAGGGCATAGTCCCGATGTTACCACACAGCAGGCCATTGACTTAAGTCCACTGTAAGTCCCAAGGTCGGGAGAGCATAGCAGGCTGCTGAGCAATGACACAGCTGCATGCAATGTCCAAGTGTGCCAAAGGTTAGACACAATTCCCAAAGCTTCTCCTTAAATACAGGAAGCAGACCACATTCCCAAAGGCAGCTAATCAGCTGCTTGTGGTAGATCCCACCATGGAGCTGATTGCCAGTCTCATCATGGGGAATAACTGCCACCAGCTGCCCAGCCACTCAACCAGGCCCAGCCAAGTTGACACACAAACATAACTACCACAATGGTGAAAGGATACAACCTTTATGCATGTTTTTTTTTCTGATTTTAAACCATGCAGTATCTTCTTGTTATGTTTGAAGATAGCCTCTTGGTCTGTGTATAGGTCCTTCATGAGCACATTAAGTGTTCTGAAATATCCCTTTTTTGCAAAGTTATCCATAATTTGTTATGATCCACACTTTATAATGTCTTTGCATAATCGATAAAACACAGGTAAACATCTTTCTGGCATTCTGGTATTCCATAAAGTTTACAGTTTTGGAACCTTGTGAGGTCATTCTACCCTGTTTTATAGGATTTCTATGAGTTAGTGTTGACTCAACAGCAATGAGTTTGATTTGGTTTGGATTCAATTGTTCTTTACCAGGAATTTATATGGTTCCTAGTAATATTACATACTATGTAATGGTTTGTAAATTATACCAATACAACAAATATACAACTAAGAGTAAAATTTAGAAACTGAAATGTCAAATAGCATTTAGATAATAGGAAAAAAAAATATTCAAGTGGCTACTTGCCCCACATTGTGTTGATTGGTGATGATGTAAAATAAATAGAGAACCTCACAGACTGCTTTTGTCTTACTTTGCTAAATTGGAATACATTCCTTAGCTAACCATTCTGGTTATCTTGGTTTCTTCTCCCCAGAGTTTTTCTTGGTCGTTGTCTTTGCTAATCATGTGTGGCATGTAGGCCTCTGA